TTGTTGTATAATATTCTGACTTGTTTTAAAACAAACTAGTATGTAACAACGTTTGGGGAGCCCTCAAGTATTAGAATACATGGAATTGCCATCATACAGGAATACCCCAAGAGCAATGAAAATGGATGGTGCGCACAAACGCTTGAGTTCACAGCAGCATTATTCATAACAGCCAAAAAATGAGAAAACCTAAGTGGGCATCACGTGATGAACAGATAACAAAAATGCGTGCTGCCCATACATGGAAACTTATTGCAATAAAAAGAGGAGGCTGATAAATCACACATAGGGGACCTGAGACGCTATGCCAAAGTGCAAACCAGCCACAAAAGACACATGCTGAGTTATTCCATTTATAGGAATGTCAGAAGAGCAAATCCATCAAAGGAGTGCGCTGCCCTGGGCCTGGGGTGGGGCAGGCAGTGAGGAGCGGGCAGTGACTGCTGCCGTGGACCGGGATTTCTTGGTGAGTGCCGCCAGTTCTACCAATTCGGTGGTGGTGCAGCTCTGCGAAACCTAACTAAAAATCACCTGACACTGTCCCACATGAAACAGTGAATTGTACGCCATCAATAAAGCTTGTAAAAAAAAAAAAGTGATGTACGCTTCTGTCAGGTTCACATTGGTCTTCAGGATTGACTTGTCAAAAGACCGGTTCAATCTCACTTTGTTCACTAACATGGTGGCAAACTCATCCCTCTGCTGCTGCTGCTGCTGCTCCTTCTATACGAGGTGAGGTTGATACTGATGTGATATCAAACCAGTTCTATGAACTAGCCGTTATTTTGGATCTTTAACTTTCCATGGAGGGCAGAATGAAGAAGAGCTCTGTAATCGAGACAGATCGGATGTTTTCCACCCTACGTCGCTCTGCTTCTCGGGCGGCTGGGAGGAGGGCGTGCTTTTGGCTAAGGCAGCTTTCCGACTGAGGGACGCCTGAGCTCGCTCATCCCATGCTCAACGGATCCAGGTTGTGCTCACCACTGGCTTGCAAGATGTCAAAACTTCGACTTTTTTAGGAAATCTAACTCTAGATAGACTACAACCCCTTGTCCTACCATACCATCGCGGACTTTATAGAACCTATAGAATTGTGGAACTGAGTTGAAATATTTTATCCTGCTCTACATTTATATATTCCCTAGATTGGTAGAATTCTCATTTTCATTTGCTAAAATATAAAGCTCTTGTCAAGTAGGTAAAACTAAGTTATTGCATTTGAGGATGTCAGTTGTCATTTTGATATTGAAAAGATGAGACGAAAACATTCCCGGCTGTGCAACAGCTTAGTCTTTAGCTTAATATAATGGCAGTTTCACTTGTTCCCTCTCACCC